TATTTCCTACCTTGTACAAAACCAACTCTTGGGATGTTACATTGCAGGAAATATTCAGCAGTAGATTCCTTACCTTTTGACTGTGTAGGTTAGATCTTGAAAATGACCCTTCATTAGCCTTGATTCAGCCGATCAAGTTATGATAAGCTCAGAACAGAAGAATAGGCTTGTTGCAATTCCATAGGAGACTGGTTACAGATTTTCCCCAAGGGAAATAATCGCTGTGGTGAGATACACTTGCCAAGGTCCTTACAGGACCTTACAGTTTTTAGTCTATTTATTGGGCCCTTTTCCATTATTTTAACAGTCATGTTAGATTTTGGTTCTGACTGCTGTTCATGTTGTATCTTATAAGACTTTAGTTAATCTGTGGGATTTCTCACAGCAAGGCTTTTTCATGTTCATATATACACAGGGTGTGGCAAAATGAATTTTTTTCTTTTAACTCTGGAGTTCATATGATAGCAAATACCAGCAAAATATTTTTATTTTCCTGTACATGGTTTGCTGATGTTGAAGACATTCCAGAAACATTTCTCTTGAAAGCCTCTGAAGAACAAGTAACAGGATTTTTTTGACATTGGTTCTTGCTGCAATTTACGATATAATATGATCGTCATTTTTGTTGATCTTTGGTTTAAATAAAAGTGGGTTTCCTCACTATAACTAGTATAAGTGTTGTCCTCTAAGAAAAAATAAGTCATTTGGGAATTACCAAATAAGGAGTTCTTTGGAAAGGCCTTTGTGCAAGAGGCACAAATTGAGAAAAACAGGAAAATCTCCTCAGGCCTCATCTGTGATTAATCTGAATTCAGGTTTCAGTGATATGGTTTCCTATGCTGGTCCTAATTTAAAATTGGGGCTTGAAGTGCATATATTCTTTTAAGTTGCCAGAATGCAGGCAGAAACTTATTTTCATCTATGCCCCTTTCCCATTAAAAGAATAATAATTTGCCTCTGAATTAACCTCTAAAGAAATCTTCCATAATTTATGGCAAGAAAAATAGGAACATTCAGTAAAGCTTTCATGACAATCCCAGTTCTCAATCACTTAAGCACCATCACTATTCCATTTTCTTTTCCTTTGGGCATCCATCCATAGGTTTGGGTGACTAGTTCTTCCATTTCTTCTTTCCTCCCTACCAACATTCATTAAAAAATACAGCTGGACACCAGCTTGACATCTACTGGGAGCACAGAGGAAATTTTTTCTATAATGCTGCAGATCAAGGTATCATTAGAGCATGGTTAATTCATAATTTTTTGGAAAAAGTGATCAATGATGAAGTTTTCTATTAATAAGTAATCAATGATTAACTGATTAAAAATGATTCCAATTAAATACTTCTGAAATGGGGAAAAAAGTCAAAGGTCAAACAAAATATACAATACTTTGCACTTCATACCACTGCAAAAACTACTCCTTCATGTGCTATTCCAACTATTAAAAACAACTGAATAAAGCCAACAAATTTCAAGAGCCTAGGTCCTAGATCACAAGTATTAGAATTTAGCTTATCTGAGGTTCCTCTACTTAGACTAGGCCTATCTATCTATATCCTACTAACCTATACTAATAAGTAACAAATGAGATTATAACATTGTGCTTCATTAATTTAATGCAGTATAATTTTGAAAAGTAAAGATAAATATATTTCACAGAAATCACACGAGAAACCTTGGACACACCGACCCACTTACCTACAGCTTGTGAATTGCGACCACCAACTGCAAACAAAATAACATTTGAGCTGGAAATTCAAAGCAAGCTAATATTCAAATATGAGGTTTGGGTGGGGGAACTGTCTTGGAAAATGCATAGAGGGAATTGTTGGTACAAATTCAAATTCCACATTACAAAATTTATGGTAAAATGATGCTAAAATTATGGGAAAATTAATCATCTTCTAAAATGCTTTTGATTAATGATTAAATTTGAAAAAATGATTAATTAATTGATTAATCAGAACCATGTCCTAGGTATCATGGTTGAATAGTGGTCAGGAGGTGATAATGCCCATTTGGATACCACTTGTTGAGGACAAGCATTCCTTAATTTTAGGATGCACCTACGCCTCTTAAAATGAAAACTTTTGTATTTTTGTAATTCATTTGTTTATTTATTTATTATTTTTTGCATCTGGACTATCTCAACATCACTCCATCCTATTGCTCATCTCCCTATGCAGTACATGGGCATAGATATGGAAAAAAAGGGTGCATGGGCATTCACTTTCCCCAAGAATTTGGCAATCATCATCCAGTTTAAGCTCCTTTTCTTCTTGGAGTAAGGCTATGAATCTTGCATGCACAATAATTATATCTTCATGGTATGGAAGCACTGTACTCCTGTAAAGGAGTATAGTCTTATATCCAGCTTCTAGATGTTTTAGAATGCTGCTTTGTACAGGCTCATTCCAGGCAGTCCATTCTCAACATCTTGATGAACTGGCAAAAGTGGAATGTTGCCTTTATAAACTGGTGTGCTTCCTGTTCATTCCTAGTTTAAGAGTTAGAAGTTTGGTTTTAATTTTTCTTTCCTCTCAGCAATGACCAGAGACTTCTTGATGGGGCCTATAGCCAGAGCAGGTTTTTGTGCATGTAACCTCAGGCATAGGCCTACTAAACCCTATTCTATTGAATAATTTTGCATGTTGCCATCAATAGTGAAAATGCTACCATAAAATCAGAGGAATGAAGTTGTTTCTTTCAAACTGTCAATCATATCATATGTGGTAGTTCCTATTTCATATTTATGGAGTGTTTTGTTGATATGTGTTATTGAAAATTCCTTCATTTTTCTCATATCACATCAGATTTGCATATATGGAGAGTCTAGTCCTGCTTTGCACACTTTGCAAGGCATTCAAGTTTGAATTGGTGGATCGTGATTTGGAGCCGGTGCCTATGTATGGATTTGTCACCAAGCCAAAGGAGGAAATTTGGCTACATTTCATTCCCAGGAAATGAATACTCTATTCTATCCTATTTTGTGTGCATTCCTGCAAATTTGTAGGTGGGAGGTGATACAGACTGATGTTGATTCTTGGCTTCAGGGCAATAAAAGATTAAAGGTAAAACAGAGATGGTGACTACTTATTAGACCTGCATGTAAATGTTCATAAAGAGAAATGAAAGCAAATCCTCTTTTATTGGGGTTACATTTTTTTGCTCAAAGTATTATAAAAGGATACCTTGAAGAAGTTCATAGATTTGCATGTTTGTAGCTGTGAGCTGTACCATTCTAAAAATACATTACTGTTTTTTCTTAAGAGCTTGTCAAGGAAGTCAGGCAGGTGGAGTTCATTGTCTTACATTTTGATTCAGTTTGTCATAGAGGTCTCCCTTGGGGAGTCATTTAATACCTGTGGATGTTTCTGAAATTGAAATTGTTAGGACTTGAAAATGACTTCAGGAATTTCTACTACTATACCAAAGCTGTGAGAAGCAATTATTTGCTATAAATTTACTAAAGCAAACTTAATTGGACAACATTTGGTGTTTTAGTTCTAAGAATTCCAAGGGCTTTTATGAAAAGGGTTTGCTATAGTTATCTGTCTGTAGCGGTGTCACAGAGGCACTCAAATCTGTATCAAATGAGCAAATTTTGAATCTCTTTGGCTTGGTGCTGTGCAATTCAATCATCTTCATGGAGTGGAGCAAAAAGTTATACCACATTAAAGGAAAGTGTTGGCCTTATTCACCAATTTCTATGCCCTCAAACTTATATTTGCATTTTTTTCTTAAAACAAAGTTTGTGCTAGTCTGTAGCCAAATCATGAGAAAGACTCTTATCTTTACCCATTAGTTTCTTGTGCATAATGTCATGCTTCATACTCAGTACTACATGTTTACTATTCTGATCACTAAGAATAAGAAAGGCAGCACCAAGGAGTTGAGCAATATTCATAAAGTTTAGTGTGCATACTTCAATCAATCAGTTTGTCATAGTATGAATTAGAGCTTCATGAGTGTAGGATGAATCATCTGAGAAGACAAAATTTGGAACAGGACTCCTTGATAATGCATAGGAAAATGCAGCCAAGTTTCAAGGTCTTAGGATGTGTATGGGCACTCATAAACACTGGCCAAAAAGATTCTGGTTTAAAAAAAAGAATACAAATAAGTGATGACTGCCAATTCAGACCTATGAAGTTCATAATAGAAAAGCATGAATCTTTGATGAGTCATGAGATATAACAGGATTAATACTCCATATTCATTGAATTAGTTATCTATTGAATAGTCACTTATTACTTTCAGAAGATCAGATCTCTATCTTGTTTCCTATGGAGTGAAAGTATCAAATGTTATGGAAATGACCAATTTGCCAATTTGAAAGTGGGAAAAATTATGTAGGAATCTTAATACCATAAGTTCACATGGTATTTTGCTTTATAAATGTATGGACTGGTTTCACCCCACATTTGGTCAGGGTATCATGATTCCCAAAACCCGCACAATAAAAGCTAAGTCTGGAACTGCACACAAAGTTGGTCAATGTGATTGTTGGTCAACTATCACATTTAGTCTCACTTTCTCAGAAACAGGTTCTTAATGCATTACCTATGTCCTGAAAGTGGTGCAGATACTTCACATTTTTTATGTAATACTTGTTTTTTTTTTTTTAAGTGTGTAAGACATATCAAATAGAAGCAATTTGCTCCCAGAGCTGGCCTGGAAAACTGAGCTAATACAAAGAGAGAAAGAGGTGCCTTCCATCTCCTGATGGAGGCTGTAATCATTTCCAGAATTTCATGCTGCAATGAAAACATTGCTGCTTTGTGTGCAGTTCCAATATAAGGTTGGGTTGCAAGAAGAAAAATAGCTTCAGAAATGTGACATCTTCCTGAAATTTGAATACAAAAATGACTGAAAGAATCTCGCTATGCCATATACCAATTTTCAAAACATCTATAAAAGTAATGTAAATTACACCTGTAATGAAGTAAGATGTCCTTTCATCTTGATAATTTCATCCATTTCTGAGCCTTTGATAGGAAGGCAGCAGTTTGAAAACTATGGACTGAGCATTAACCTCATCATTAATGAGTTGACCACCATGGGGCGCACTGGTGTGCCCCGGGCTTCACCTTCTGGAAAGTCACCAGGCCGATATGGCCATGGTGGTCAATGTGTTAAAACATTTGTTAATGCTATGCTCTTGCTATTTAGTTTTAAATTTATTAAAGGAATTTCCACTAAGTTGAGTCAGACTTAGTATTTTATTTCCTATTTGTTGCTAATGTAGATTTGTGAACATAACCAATGATCATGGTGAGGCTCAAAATCACAGAATCAACTCTGGACTAGTTACCAAGTCATTTATATGAAATTATCAGAGCTGTTCCACTGATGGGAGCATGCTTGAACAAGTTGAGTTCATTCTTGTTCATAATCTCCTGATGAGAATGTTTATCTGGTGCCAATAATGATCCCTTCTACAGGGTGACCCAAAAGTCTGGACACATAGGCGAAAATGTAGTAATTTTATTCAATAACATTTTCAACATGGCGCCCATCATTAACGATGCAAAGTTCGATGCGCTTTGCGAGATTCACATGAACATGATGCAGTAACTTCGTATTTCCATTGATCTTAGCACATTCATTGATGATGCGTTCCTTCAGATGATTAATATCTGTGATTTTCATTGAGTACACCTTTTCCTTCAGCATACCCCAGAAGAAGAAATCAAGGGGACTAATATCTAGCGAGGGGGGAGTCCACTCCACACGGCCACGTCTCCCAATCCGGTTAGGAAAATTGTCTTCCAGCCAGTGTCTTACCACCGTGGCGTAATGGGCAGGGGCCCCATCCTGTGCATTGAAATCATCTGCTATCCGTCGATATGACCACCCCTTACGTCCACTCAGCAGTACCAATTCAATATGTTCTTTCAACATTCTCATTCAATCTGGGGAAAAAACAGAATATTAGTAATCCATGTAACCCATGTGTCCAGACTTTTGGCTCACCCTGTATAACAACACTTGGTCCAGTGATCCAAACTCCTTTATATGATACCAACCTGATGATACCCTTAGGTAATCCAGGTATACTTCATTTGCAATGTTAGTATGACTTCATTAACTCAGTTGATTGGGAGTTTTGCATAGTATGACAAAATAAGACCAGTGACTTTTAATTCAATGACTCTGCACTAATTAGAGCTACTTTGATTAAACTTGGCTTTGCATTGATTGATATGTTCCCAACTGACTTAAAATTTAACCCAAAATGATATTGGTAAAGCAAGACAATTAGCTATTATTCAAGAGGAAATGGAATTGGAATTGGAAAAGGGACTATCATCCCTTCCAAGTGTTTCTTCCTCTCAAAATTGAGGTTCTCCTGCTTTGTTATCCACTGTACACCAAGGGAGAATCAGAGAAAATATTGAAAAAATGGTTGTTTTTTTTGTTACCTATTGATTCAACTGACATTATTTGCACAGAATTTATCAAAATTATCTGCAAAAAAAAAGCCAGCCAAAAAGTGAATTTCAGTTAAGAAGTTGGATGTGGTCTGGATGAAACGCTAGTGGAGCACTTGGGCTTGCCTTCTATTCCAGTGTTGGTGCAAGTTCCAGTCAGTTTTATCATCCAACCTCTTGTAATCTTTGCGCCTAGCCTTTTTCTGGAGAATGAAATTAAAAGAAAATTTCAGGAATGTTGAAGTCATATTCATTCAATCACAGTGAAGTTTTTGTGAAAATAGCTGCTGTCACACCTGGTGAATTAACCATGCTAACCTGTTAACTGTCTTGCTTGACATTTGCTGTGGTTTTGTAGCACACTCTTAATCCATTTGTGCCATTCTTTTCAAATTCAAAATCGTGAGTATTGGGTATTGCTTTTGTATTCTGGAGGTCATTTAGTACATGAAGACCCTCACCAATAATATGCAGTAGCAGCAAAGCTGTGCATAAATAACCCAGTACTGCATGTGTGCCATTGTGCAATTAAGAAACTGAACATGTTAAATGGTGGGCTTGTTAAAAGAAGACTGATCAATTAAAAATTAAAGGCCACATTTTCCATGCACACTTTGTGAATAACCTGTTTAACTTGTGTTTATTAATACATAGTGTATTGCTGAATTCATTGATGAAAAAGTAGATATGGAATATTAGAATATTCATATAGGTGTGATGGTGGTGTTGCGTGGGTGGCGCTATGTGGCTTTTGTCGCAGGCATTTTTGGTGGAGTTGGACTAGCAATCTATCCGATCATTGTGGCTCCGTATTTGGATCCAAGCAAGTATCAAGATATTCAGCGTGTCACGAGAGCAGGAATCAACCAAGAAGATATCCAGCCAGGTGGCATGAAAGTGTGGACTGATCCATTTGAACGTAAGAGGTCTGAAAAGTGATGCATGGAACTCAAAACTGATGATGATGGATTCACACTTGTGAAATACAAAAGGAGGAAACAGGCTCATTTTCACCTGCCATGGCAACATCTGTCCATTCACTCTGTGGATAACTCCTTTTCTCTGAATATTTTCAGGTTAGCTCTGGTTTGGAGCCTCCGTTATTGTGGAATGTGTGAGACCTCTTGGAAGTTTCTAAACTTTGGTTGCATCATGGATTTGTCCTGGCTACCATCTGATGTCACATTTAAAGTGATTTAAAGGACTAGGACAGTCTTACCAGGTCACAACTAGCGTGAAGTATTGCGAAGTACAAGCCTAAGCAGCAGCAGTGTCAATGGGGATCAATAATATTAGGTAATATGCCTAGAATGTGTAGATGCGTTCACTGCGGGGATTGGGTTGGTGGAACTAGTGAGCGAGAGGTATGCCGGTGGAACTAGTGAGCGAGAGGTATGCCAGGTATGCAGAGTTTGTAGCTTGGAGGAGCGACTAGGGGAGCTATCGGGGAGGCTCATGGGGAGGAGATAAGAGGGACCAGGAAGGTGGGGGAGATTCAGAGGGATGATTTAGTGGCAAGGCTAGGTAGGGTGGAGGAGGCACTCCGGGGGTTCCCCAGCCTTCCTGACCTTACTGGGAGGGTGGTCCTGTCGTCGTTTGACAGCACGTCGAGTGCCGACTCACAGGTGGCTAGCAAAGCTAGGTTCGCACCAATCGCATAGCATAACATGACTGACATAAAATAGCACAGCACCTACAGATTCTTGTTCACACTGGCGTCGCGCTTTGCGATTCCTGTCATCCATATGGGGCATCACATAGGCCTCTGGGCAACGGGCTGGGTGAAGTCCGAGTAGACCCTGCTTAATAAAAAAAAGCTTGTTATTCACCATTATGGATGTTGAAGCCCTGCTTTTGACATCGATTCGTTCAACCGTGGCATGTCACGTTCGGAGGCAGAGAAGAGATCGTCAGAGACGAAGACTCGAGAAATCCTCACTCCCCAATAAGTTCTCGTTTCAGGCTAAGTTAGGCCTAGTTAAGTATACGCGATAGTACAACCTCGCATAATGGTCCTGCATCTAGGGACGTTTTTAGGTACCAGTGGTTCTTGTCTAGGTCTGAGCACGGGTTCCTTGTGCACTATGTTGAATCCAGCTCAACTCTTCGCACAGACCCTAGAGCCCAGGTTTTGACCGCACAAGGGCACTTGTGCTATGCTATGCGGTTGGTGTGAACCGAACTTAATTGGGGTCAGGAGCGATCGCAGGGCGCGGTCATTGAGACTGAAAACATGTTTCACGGGTTGAGGGAGGTCAGCTTGGATGAGGGATCGGAGGGCACAGTGGGTGCAGGTGAGATGTCGGCAGGACGAGCTCAGGCCATGTCGAAGGGGAGAGGGAAAACGCGGGCCCTTGTAATCGTCGGTGACTCGAACGTCAGGCGTCTTGAGGCAGCGATGGGAAATGATTCAGGATCTCGGGTTTCTTTCATTCAGTTCCCTGGTGCTAGGATCGAACACTTTAGGAATAAGGTCGGATCGGTGGTGTGCTCTGAGTCAGCCGAGGAAGTGTCAGTGGTCCTGCACGTTGGGACCAACGATACTCCCAAGTCTGGCTCTGAACTCATGGGCAGGCTGAAGCAGGCTATTGGGGCGTGTCGGGAAGCGAGGTCGGGGGTGCGCGTGACGGTATGCGCGATCCCGAGCCGGCTAGACAGGGGAGGAACCACGTGGTCCAGGTCGGAAACCCCTTCCGACCTGGACCACGTGGTTCTTCCCTTGTCTAGCCGGCTTCCCGGACACGACAGGTTGAAGGAGTCATGTTCCGCGGAGGGGGCAGTGTTTCTGAACACTAGGGGGCTCTGAGGCATTGTAGAAGTCTGATGGCTAGGGACGGAGTACATTTCTCGAAAGAGGGAGCTGTAGCAGTCAGATTGGCTATCATGAAGGAAATGGAGCCTTTTTTAGGGTTCAGCCTGCCCACGGTGTCGTATGTGACATCCGTAATAATATTTTTAGTACACAAAATGTATTTAACTACTGTACAGGGTGATTCAAAAGTCACTATACATTTTATGCTCAAATAAGTTTTATTGTACAATATGCTATACTACTGAAACATACGTAACATTAGGATACTAATTCAGTACATTTCAATGTGGCCACCTTGCACATCTAGGCACAGCCCCCAACGTTGCTCCGTTTCCCAGAACACTGATTCCAACATAGCTGGTGTAATCTCAGCTGCTGCGGCTGTGATACGCTGTTTCAGTTGTTCAATGCTGTTGATCTTTACTTGATACACCTTACTCTTGATAAACCCCCAGGCAAAAAAAT